TGTTTGCTTGTTACATGGAGGATTTTTTTACCTGTTAAAAGTAGTCACCAAATGCTTTGGTTACGCAGTGTAGTGCAAAGCAGTTTGAGGAATGGATTTTCGTTCAGTGCAGAATTAAGTGGGAGTGGTTTTTATTACAGTGATACTAGGACTGAGGAGGAATGATTTTCAAGGAAAGCATTGTAGTGCTAAAACTTGTATATGTAGTTATATGGCGTATGCAGAATATTACTAAAGTACTTGGTTATATTTTGCTGTTAATTTCATGCTTTAAAAAGAGGCTATTTGGTTCTAATTTTAATTGGAAAAACAGATGTTGATGTTGCAACGACTTCTGTTATTTTTAAGTAGAAACATCCATTTAATGGTACTTGAGAGCAAAGTTTACGTTTGATCAGTAAATTCATTTAAAACTATAAAGTTTCATTTTTATCAATTATTGTGAAATTTAATCTCTGGGCAACCTAGAACTGGCTGTATGCCACAGAAACCAATCTTTCAACTGCATATGGAGGCAAGGAGAGAATTTCTGTATCTAGTGCTGCTTCTCAACCCAGACTCGGAGGGAAGCGAGGCTAGATTGCTGTTCTACAAAGAAAACAGGCAAAAAGGGTAAGGTGTTTCCGCTGTACTGAACAGCTTAGCTTCTTATTTTCAGACTGTAGAACTTACACTTGCCTTGAGACTCAGATTTAAAATGTCTTTGGTTCAGATAAATTTTCACGTTTTTATGTATTTTTCTAATATATGCATTTTATTGGTGTACACTGTAATTAACCACTGAATTTCTACCAAATATGGACAAACACAAAGCTGTGTTCTGTTCCGCGAATTTAAATGTGATCTTAGTCTTTCTACTTCGTTTCATCCAGGGCTAGTAAAATATCCATTTGCTGTTTGTGTTAGAGAGATTGAATCCAGTTGCCTTAATTGCTTGGAGGAAAACTGACCTTGACTATTTGAAGCTTTATGTATTTTTAAAATTCCTGTAATTTCTGTATAATTGCAATAAAACTTTTTAATATAGTCCAGCCGCTATTCTAAGAGCCATTTGTCACTATATTTTACTGAACTTTCAACGGTTTAAAAAAAAACAAACCAACCCAAACCCATTTTAATGGGTAATCGCAATTTTGTTCCTTGCTTTTTTATCTTCAGGGGGTGACTCTGCAGGCGGTGTGCTTGTGCGCTGCCTGCAGGCGGTGTGCTCGTGCTCTGCCCACAGCGCTTCTCTCTTGGCCAGGGAGCAGCGGGAGCGCCTGCTCCCACCACTGATGCTGCAGCAGATGGGCTGGAGGACGTGCAGCAGCGCTTTTCAACCTCTGATCACTTTCGCAGGGACTAGATTTTGGGTCGTTGATCGGCTGGAGGAAGCACACTAGGGTGCGTATCACAGGGAGGGGGAAGTTGTCCTGAAACCCAGCTGGCGTTGTTGGATGGGTGTGGTACCTGGGGGGGTT